TTATTTATTTATTTATTTAAAATGTTTTAACCCCAGCCTTCACAGAAAGATTAGTGCTGTTCTACTGCAATTTCCTGGAGACCCAGTTTCATTGCTCTCAGAAGCTCTTCATTGCTCTCAGAAGCTATTGTTTAAGCTACTTTCCTTCTCTCTTGTCCACTTGGTACCCTCTGAACACCAAATGTGCTTATTTCCCAATGCTTGCTACTGTGTGGAACTGAAATCCATCAAATCCTTCGGAGCTTCTGCAACTGTGGCTTGGATTGTAGAACTCTCTCAGCCTCTGCCTCTGCAAATGAATGTGCTTTTCCAAATTAATTTCCACAGATTTTGAAGTAACTTTATTATCTAGTAATTTTTGTTACTCATCATTTGTCACGCACAAAGCTATACCATCCAATGCTTCCATAATATAATGATTTCTGTAAATTTGAATATCATCTTGAACCACCCCAGTTTTGCTCAATGCAATTTATTGAGACTGTTTTTCTTACATGTCCTGCTTGAATGAAAAGAATTGTATTAAAAAAAGGATTATGTTGTAAGTGGATTCTTGCCTGTTTGCAGAAAACCAGCTACCAAAAACCTGTGTTGTGGTTCATGCCTAGATGCAAACTGGCAAATTTCAAAAATCCATTATATATATTTATTCCTAAAACATGTCTGAGTGCATGCATATGTCCAGAAATCATACCTGATAATGCTTCCCATGCTGGGAGCACATCAGTTATAAACAAGTCACTAATTACAGTGTATCCAAAGTGAAATAAGTAAGGGCTACATTTTCTTTCTAGCACTCTTCGTTACATAGCAATAGTAATTTTTCAGCTTCCACAACATTTTATAGAAGCCATGACCTTAATCTGGTTTTGGTTTGTTGCTGATCATTTGTATGATTGTTGATCTGTACATGAATAACAACAACTGATAGCCTAGTCTCAGTCTGTACCAGGTGCACATCCAGGAAAGACGATGGTTGAACACTGGAGAAGTTCAGTGGAATTTCTGGAGAAGTTTGTGGCCAAAAGTGCCACGCTAACCCCAGAAGAGAATTATTTTTCCTATAAGGGCAACTTGTACCCTGTTGCTGCTTGCCAGATAGAAACTCTACAAGCTCTTGAAACCTTCGAAGCCAGGGCAGATGATGTGATCTTGGCAGGATATCCTAAAAGTGGTGAGTATCACTCTTCCTTAGCCTGGCAAAGAGGTTCTAATCAAAGATGTGCAGATAGATAGTTATGAGTCGAATGGATGTTAATGCACAACTAGATCAGGAATATTACATCTAACATTGTGGATTGTAAAAAAATAAGGATTATATGTTAAGGAACAACATGGAAGGAAAATCTGTCTAATTTGACCCTTCTTTTCCTTACTCCTCAAAGTAACAATTCCTATGCAGAATCACACAATGGCTTGGAGTGGGGGCAGGCTTGTGAAAGGAAATGTCTCTGTCTTCTAGTCTTCTCTATAGCTACTTGCACAATGTAGGAATATGTGGGTGGGGGAATAATATACTCCAAATTGAGTGGGCAACCACATGGGTTTGGGTGATCGAGCTTAACACGGCACTTTTACTCTGTGTGGATCACAGGACACCACTCTTGTTTCGTAACTTATTATGAAGTCCCAGAATTAGCATTAACAATGTTAACCTTTAGTTACATGTTTGTTTTTAACGATAACATTTACTAAACACACACATACACAAATATACCGTATTTTTTGCACTATGAGACACACTTTTTTCCACAAAACAGGGGGATGGAAAGTCTGTGCGTCTTATGGAGCGAAGAAAACAGATTATTTTTTCCCGTTTTCTTCTCCTAAAAATTTGGTGCGACTTATGGAGAGGTGCGTCTTATGGAGCGAAAAATACGGTACATACCAGAATAAACAAAATGTCTTACTACAGTTATGCACAGGTCCCCAATGTGGGGCTTCCAAATATAACTTAATTTTTTCTGGAGCATGGTGTGTGCCACCCAGTTTGATTTATGCCCCAGATCCAAATCAATATGAAAGTCTGTCAGGTCAATGCATTGGAAAACCAAAACTGCTGTAACTTCATTGGGTTTTTACTGATATACATGAAAGGTGGAAACATATATGATAGATTAATCCTAAGGAAGTGAGTAAGGCTGTAAAATTTCAGGTGTTTAATTTCTGGGGTTTGTTTATTAGGCACACTCAGAATGTATTTTGTAATTAAAACTTAATAGCCAGAAGCAGTTTATACTCCATCAAAGGTTTTTGCGCTCTAGATGCAAACTGATCAGATTTGCTTCATTCTGGAAGTGAATCTGTTTATTCCAGTTGAGTCTGGCACTCCAATGAATTGGTCCCAATCAACCCAGTTCAGTTCAAGATTTGTAATTTTTCTGAATCCAGTACACTTGGATACTTTTTTCCATAAGAGAATGTCTCTATGCCTGGCAAAATAGCCAGGAATAACACAGACATATATAATTTGAACTAGACTTAAAATACTATTTAAACTCTCTTTAATCTTCAGCTTCACATTTCACAGGTTAAAATTTGTTCTGAAATTGTTAATTGTTCTAAATATGAAATGCAGAAGTAGCCCACTTGTGTCTCCAAAGAACTGGATGCTCTAAGAGCTTGTCATGCAAGGAATATTACTGCTTGCGAAGAATGAGTAGAGAGTGTGTGAAATATTATCAGATAGATGGTGTGCTGCTTTCATCCCAGTGAGTTAGAAATTATACAGACTTGGTGTGAAAGAGAGGATATGATCTGTTTGCTTGTTCTTTTCATACTGCAATCTTTTCTGTTGATTGCTTTGTTTCTCTGTTTTCTCCTTTTTTTGTCTACTTCATTTCCCCCTCATTTGCCCTTTCCCTACAATTTTTCTATTCCTTTTTTGTTCTGTCTCGCCCTGTTTCCTTCTCATTTTGCTTTTCTTCTGTTTTTCCTCACAGATCCAAATCTGTTTTTTCCCATCAGAGGCAGGTATATACCTCCCTCTCTCAGTGTGTGTGTATGTGTGTGAAAGAAAGCTATATTTTGTGTGTGTGTGTGTGTGTGTGTGTGTGTGTGTGTGTGTGTGTGTAAGTGGACAATAGAAGGATTAGCACACTGTATGATGAAACAAGATGTTATTAACTACTGTATTAGACAGGAAGTGGAGTGAGTGCCATTTGGGCTTTCCTTCAAATTACAAAGTGTTCACTCTCAGAGAGAGGTACCAGCAGAGTATACCACAAGAAATTATGGACTTTATCCCCAGTAAACAAGCAGTATGAAGAGCAACCATAAGCTTGTACTCCAGACATGTGTCATCTTTTTTCAGGTACTAACTGGGTTGACCACATCCTAAACCACTTGGCCATCATATCTGGAAAGTATACAGCAGAGGAAGTGAAAGAAAGACTCAGACTTGAAAAGGAATTGGCAATGACTCCACGCCTTGAGTTTGGGGATCCAGACAAGCTCAAGGTCAGCATGGACCAAGAATAAATAAAAGATATTGGTATAGGGCTTTAAAAAAATGGAGGTTTAGGTATTCCTAATACAAAAAATTATTATACAGTATAGCGAATCAGTTAAGATTTATTGGAGATATTATATACAACAAAGGAAGGTTAATTTGGTGGGATATGGAATCCTCAGAAATAAATGGGAATATTGAAAAATATTTGTTTAATGTAGTAAAAAGAAATACAATAAATCAGGCGAACAACCCTTTTTAAGAAACATGTTAAATATCTGGAACAGAAATAAAAGGAAGTTATGTTCCTTTACTTCACCACTAAAATTAGTGACCGAAATAGAAAATTCCAGTAGGAGACCGGCTTGATGCACCACAATTCAAAAGCATCAATTCTTCGGCAGTCAGCTTTCTTTATGGTCTAGCTTTCACTTCTGTACATTGCTACTGGAAAAACCATAGCTTTGACTATGCAGACCTTTTTCGGCAAGGTGAGGTCTCTGCTTTTTAAGATGCTGTGTAGGTTTGTCATTGCTCTCCTCCCAAGAAGCAGGCATCTTTTAATCCTGTGGCTGCTGTCACCATCTGCAGTGATCATGGAGCCCAAGAAGGTAAAATCTGTCACTGCCTCCATATCTTCCCCTTTATTTGTCAGGAGGTGATGGGACCAGGGGCCATGATCTTAGGTTTTTTTATGTTGATTTTGATGCATAGATTAATCCTATTTCTCTGGAAGTATATCCTCCTACTTAGTTTTACACTTACATGCACTGTGTCATAAAGATAATTTGATAGATACTAAATATATCCTATATTGTCTCCTGGTCTACTACTGTTATCACTGGAGAGAGAGAGAGAGAGAGTTTACAGTGCTTAACAAGTACACTTCTGTCCCAAGACATCTGTAGAAACAGTTGCTGAAATATGCGGATTACTCATTTTCTAAATTTTAACTGTTCTTTCTTTGTTGAGGACACTGAGCATATATTGAAATTCTTCTGAATTGCAAAGTGGGACATGAAATAAACTTTTTTGTTTCTTATTTGCTACATGCATCCATGGTTCCAGATTATGATCAATCATGTAAACCTGCTCTCCCCCAGAACACCTTTTAGATGTCCAAGCTGTTTTCGGTAGTGATTTCTTTTTCTTTTTCTTATTTTATTAAAGAGGATGGAAAAACTTCCTTCAAGAAGGGTCATAATAACACACCTGCATCCTAATTTGCTGCCCAAATCTATTTTCAAAAATAAAGCCAAGGTGAGTGCACAAGCTCATACTCTTTGACCTTATGAAGGCTTTATTACAAAGGTCACACATGTATAGTTGTGCTAGGGATTGACTTGTACCAGCTGTGGCTCAGAGGAATCAACTATGACAAGAAAGGATTTAAGGTTGAATCCAGTGTTTGACATGTCAATTTCATTACCAATCCAAAGGTTGTTTCCACATTTGGCAGATGTATATGTGCAGCACCAAAGACTGCTCCACGGTGATGGCCTCAGTGAATTGTTTCTAATCACATCTTCAGGGTGCTCCTTCCATCCAGTTCTGGGCCATGTAATCCAAATTTGCAAATACTATCAACAAGGCTTACTAGCCCATGATAAATGTCAATAATACGATGACCCACAGATACCACCATGAGTAATTTTTGCCCCCAAAGTGATAGGTGTGTGGAGAGCAGAACCAACTCTGTTTAGCTGTATTAGTGAATGTAGCAGGGAGATTGTCATTGAGAAGCCTAGAAATATATACCATGCTATTCCTACTAGTATAAAATAGGCACACCTTCTTGCACAAGAAATGGACTCTTATTATGATAATGATTGCAGGCAATTATAGTCATCTGTTTGCTGACCTGAAACTTTATAGAACTATGTCTGATCAGTTTAGCAGAATATCATGCTGGTGATCCTAACTACTAATGGAAAAATGAAGAAAATAATGGAACCAGAATATTGACTGAAAATAATGTTTTATTCTGTGATTTACTCAGGCATTACTGGATTACAGAAATTACTGGGCATTACTGGATAATAAGAATAATCATTATTAAATAGCATGTAGCACAAAAACTTAAATTACAATTTCTTCTCTTGTGTTTCAGGTTCTGGTGCTGTTTCGAAATCCCAAAGACACGCTGGTGTCTTACTTTCATTTTAGAAACAAGTTATCTTCCTTTCCTTTGTCATCTTGGGATGCATATTTTATTGATTTTATGAATGGAAAAGGTATCCTTGCCTTTTGGCAGCATGTGTTAACAGCCTACCACAAGCAGATTTTCAGGATTTGGAAGCTATCCTGCCAAATCCATCACCTCTTGGGGATGGATGTCTGGAAGGCAGAAGGATCCTGATCTGTGCTCTGTCAGTTTCCATTGATATTCCAACTGCATCCTTTCAAAGAGGGTTATTACTTGGCCACTTTTGTGACTGCTCTGGCAATCTCTAGACTTAACTATTATAATGTTCATTACCAGGGGCTGCTTCTGATGACAACCCAAAAATTTCCATTGATCCACTATCTAGTAGCCTGACATCTGTGAGACAGTAACTTTTGGAAGGATGTGGCGCTAATTCCCCATGAGATCTGCTGTTTGCTACTGTTTTTTTTCCTGGGCTAAATTCAGGATGCAGCCTTTTGGCCTTCAAAACTTTGATGCATGTATGAATGTGCATAATTCAAAACTATTTCAACACACATGTGCACCCTGGTCCAAAGTTATAGGTAAAGGTAAAGGTTCCCCTTGAAAATTTTTGTCCAGTCGTGTTTGACTCTAGGGGGCGGTGCTCATCCCCATTTCCAAGCCACAGAGCCAGCGTTTGTCCGAAGACAATCTTCCGTGGTCACATGGCCAGTATGACTTAGACACGGAACGCTGCTACCTTCCCACCGTGGTGGTCCCTATTTATCTACTCGCACTTGCATGCTTTCGAACCGCTAGGTTGGTGGGAGCTGGGACAAGCGACAGGCGCTCACTCCGTCATGTGGATTCAATCTTACAGCTGAAGATCTACAGACCTTAGAGCACAGAGGCTTCTGCGGTTTAACCCGCAGCACCACCACGTCCCTCGGTCCAAAGTTATGAACACATGCAAACACATTTTAAAAGTTGTAAATTATATTGAATTAAATCTCTGAAGAAAGCTCTCAACATAAATGGTTGAAAAGCTTTCTGAGATTTGTATAACACCTATCATGGGAAGTTTCAGTGTTTCTTCAATTAATCCTAATATGTGGTGTTGCATTTACTGATAGAGAAAATGGGAATAAATGCTGATCTATAATTGAAGAATATTGTTGAGAATATTTCCAGTGATTTGAAAATGTCTAACTTCAAAATTACGGCATCATGGACTTCAGTATCCTCTTCCTTTTCTCCAGTTCCAGGAGGATCCTACTTTGACTATGTGAAAGCCTGGGATGACTATATTGATAATGAAAATGTCATGGTCATCAGTTATGAAGAACTAAAAGAGGTGAGAGCAACACTGACTTTTTGAACAATTCAGATGTGTTTTATATCACAACACCTGCAGAAATAATAAATGTGTAATGAACTATAATATGTATATGACTTTCGTTTCTATGGTGAAAGCATACAGATATGCTGTTCTATGTCTCTCTACTTTTTTTTACCATTACTGATAAAAATGTATTGCATTGAAAGCAATTTTTAGATAAGACAGCAGCAGGAAACATCTAAGCAGGTCACACTTCCCTTCCGCCCCTGCCCAGTTCTTTCACACTAGCTTGTTCTTTGCCTTGGCCTGGATGTCATCCAACTTGTATCAGCGTAACCGTAGGTCAAAAATGGCTTCTGACTGGGCTTTACTAAAAGCCAATGAGCTGAGAAAAACCCAGTTTTAAGAACAGATACAGTTATTTCTGGTAGAAAATTTTTAGTATCCATTCAGATATTTGTGTTTCTAGTTCTTACTATTTAAGAGCATTTTTGAGACAGGCAGAGAGAAAGAAAGAGAGTCAAGGCAGGTTCTAGCGAACTGTTTTTCAGACATATAGCCCAAGTACTTAAGTATTGCTCACTAGCATCAACTCCAAATTGTTTGTTTCTGGTTCTTTGTGTTTTGGAGATCTTTCACAACACAATAATAAAAGAGGCTCTGGGGAAATCAATTTTGAGATGTAACCCATCCAGTTATTTACAACAGGAAAACAGTATTGTCCATGCAAAGCTTTGTTTCTAGCGTTTACTGCTTCAGAGACCATTTTGGGGAAAGAAAAATCCAATTAAGCTTCAGAAAGATCTCTGATCTTCAGTAAAAAAAATTTATTTCAGAGAGGTGTAGTTTTTGTTTTATGTAACAAAAAATTGTTTTTTGATTTGTTTTTACATACAGAACCTGTATACAGGCATTCAAAAGATGGCTAAATTCTTTGGGTTCTCCCTCACTGAAGATGAGATTAAAAGTGTTGTGAGAAGAAGCACCTTTGAGGCTGCGAAAGAGAGATCCCTCGAAACCTATGGGGCATTTGGACCTGTTCTTTTCAGCAAAGGTAAAGCTTTAGGGCAATGTAGGTAGGGTACAGCAAACTGTTAACTCAACAGTTCCCAGCTAAGCAGCCATTCTACCTATCTGGCCACATTGGTGGATATATTCATAAAGGTTGTGTTAGGGATGCACCAAAAGCTGGCAAAGTGTCTATTTCAGTTTACACTTGTGGTTTCATGGTCCCTGGATCCTTCTTCCTTTTGTTCATTCATAATTGTTTAAAGTTATAGAACAGTGCAGTTGACTGAACATATTCTATTCAGCATACAGTGGACCCTTGACTTACAGATGGCCTGACTTACAGACTTTTTGAGTTACAGACTTCTCTGGCCGCAAAATTTAGGTTTGACTTGCAGCCTGATAATTGACTTACAGACCAGAAAAAAACCAAAATGGAACAAAACGGCCTGTTACGGGATTGATCGGTTTTCAATGCAATGTAGGTCAATGGAGACTTGACTTACAGACTTTTTGACTTGAGAACCGCCTTCCAATATGGATTAAGTTCTCAAGTCAAGACCCCACTGTAATGAAAAAATATTCGAAGGAGAGACAAGAGGTACATACTTGAAGGGGACATTCTCACTTTACTGGCACACTGCATCATGCCAAAGGGTATGCCATTATAGCAGGGATATCCTCTCAAGTCAATACCCTTTGTCTCTCTCTCTGCTGAACATTTTTTTAATTATGCTATTCTAATTTCACACTATGTCAATAAGCACTGCAGTTTCACATATTGTATCAGTTCAATGCTATGTCACATGTCAAAAATGATTTTAAAAAAAGAGGCAGGAAGAAGGTGATGTTAATGACAGAGGCGTGTGGGAGAATTGTAATGATTTGTGATATAATATGGAATCATGCCTCCAAAGTTGCCTGTGGTAGTTGAACATTCAGTGTGAATGACGACAGGGATTTAATGGCCTTAGGAAACTCTGAATCAATCCAGATCAACCAAGGACAGCTTCCCTCTCTAGTTGCACCCTAAGACAGGATTAACATATAAAAAACAGTATTCAGTTTCATTATGATTTTGAGCTTTATTTTTGTATTCTTATATTCTCCAATTTACTAATCTGTGAGTTTGTGAGCTATACGTTATGTTTGATTTCATTATGATTTTGAGCTTTATTTTTGTATTCTTATATTCTCCAATTTACTAATCTGTGAGTTTGTGAGCTATACATTATGTCTGATGTACTTGTTTGAGATGCTGTTCTGTTATACTGTATAAATACCATATTTACTCAAGTATAAGCCTAGTTTTTCAGCACGATTTTTTTTGCTGAAAAAGCACCCCCTCATTTTATACAGTGGTGCCTCGCTTAACGGGCACCCTGTTTAACGCCGAATCCACATACTGACGAAGATTTCGGGCTTTTTATTTCTGCATAGCGATGAAATCCCTTTGCAGCGATTTTTGCTGCACAGATTATCGTCGCTATGCGGGGCATCACTGTACTCGAGTCAGTGTCAAAATTACATGTACTTCCCTGCAGTGTGGGTGTTCTCTGGATTCCCCTGCTCATCGACGGGCGCCTGCAGCCTCTGTGGGTGGTCCGATAACCCGGGTTAAGTACACTGCATTTTTCAGACTCTGCAGGCAGACACCGTGCTGGGAGGATAATAGCAGTCTATGTCCAAATGAAAGAGCTATAGATGAAAACTTTTTCCTAGCAGCACGTCAGTACGTATCTCAAAGACTACTTTGAACGGAGATCACAGTGAGGGCATCTTTGTTTACAAGCCCAGGGAAGCCCATTCACCTCCCCTTCTTCCCTGTCAGCTATGTCTCTTAAAGGTCTTTATGGGAGTGTACGCTTCCAGAATACTTCCATCCTCCTCCTTCTGCATATTCTCCCAGTTTTATTGGTATCTATTTTTATTTTTGAAATTTATCAGTAACTGCTGCATTTTCCACCCTTGGCTTATACTCAAGTCAATGTTTTCCCAGTTTTTTGTAGTAAAATTGGGTGCCTTGGCTTATATTTGGGTCGGCTTATACTCAAGTATATACAGTACATTTCTTTCATAAATAAACAGATTTACAAGTATATATGTTTCATTCTACAACTAACTATAAACATTTGACATTTCTACAGGATGTGTTGGCGACTGGGAAAGTATGTTCACAGAATCTCAAAGCCAAGCCATGGATAAAAAATTTGATGAGTGTTTAGCTGGAACTAAATTAGGGGGCCCCTTCAAATATTGCTGCCTTGCCATGGAGAAGGGTGTGAGTAATTCAGAGAAGCTGAGTGCTGTGCCATGCAGGGACACCCCTGCTCCCCTCACTTACGGGGATCACCTGCCTGGGGATAGAGCTGAATGCCTATCTCCTCTACAGCAATGCACAAAATCATCACCAGAGACCACCACCAACCCAATTCTTTAACTCTGCTTTGAGAGAAACCCTACTGACCAAGATGTACAGGTCATAGTGGAGAGTTCTGTCTAAACGTGATCCACCTGGAGCAGGAACTGGCAAGCCACTCCAGTATCTTTGCCAAGAAAACTCAAGGGACACAACATCAAACAAAATTAAGAACATGTCCATTGGTCTCATCACCTACTGGCAAACAGAAAGGGAAGATATGGAGGCAGTGACAGATTTTACCTTCTTGGGCTCCATGATCACTGCAGATAGTGACAACAGCCACAAAATTAAAAGACACCTGCTTCTTGAGAAGAAAGTGATGGCAAACCTAGACAGCATCTTTAAAAGCAGAGACATTTTCCAGTAGTAATGTATGGAAGTGGGAGCTGGACCATAAAGAAGGCTCACCACTGAATAATTGATGCTTTTGAATTGTGGTGCTGTAGGAGACTCTTGAGAGTCCCCTGGAGTGCAAAGAGAACAAACCTATCCATTTTGAAAGAAATCAACCCTGAGTGCTCACTAGAAGGACAGATCCTGAAGCTCAGGCTCCAATACCTTTGCCATCTCATGAGAAGAGAAGACTCCCTGGAAAAGATCCTGATGTTGGGAAGGTGTGAAGGCTAGTGGAGAAGGGGATGACAGAGGATGAGACGGTTGTTGTGGGTTTTTCGGGCTTCTTGGCCATGTTCTGAAAGTGGTTCTTCCTTCCCGTTTGCTGTCCTCTGAAGATGCCGGCCACAGAGACTGGCGAAACGTTAGGAAGAACCACTTTCAGAACACGGCTAAGAAGCCCGAAATACCCACAACAACCATTAGATCCCAGCTGTGAAAGCCTTCGCGAATACACAGAGGATGAGATGGTTGGGCTGTGTCACTGAAGCGACCAACATGAATTCGACCAAAGTCCAGGAGGCAGTGGAAGACAGGAGGGCCTGGTGTTCTTTAGTCCATGGGATCACAAAGAGTTGGACATGACTTAACAACTAAACAACAAAAAATTAGGAGAAAAGGTGAAGTATCACCTGTATTGCAATTCTGAAGAGACAAAACCAACCTTTGAAGGATTGCCTGTATTACAACTGTAGCCCTGAAATATCACTTGGTTCTTCCTCTTTATGTGCATGATGTACTGTAGCAGATTGAAGGCATCACTATTGTATTGCATGGTTGGCCCGGTTTTATCCAGCTCTTACTATTATATATCATGATTCATTTTATTTGAGTTTATAAGTTTCCTACCTGTTTACTCTGCTTCAGCCAAGTGCCCTTGAGAGTTCTCTTTATCTTTATTACATTATTGCAGTGAATGCTTCGTATATGCTTGATCATAATGAGTATGCTGAATCAAAGAGTATTTCCAGGTGATAGAAAGCACAAGAAAATTACATGTAATGATGGCTTTTAATAAAGAACCTGCAAAAATGTATGCTGAAAAATAAGTGTTCATCATGATGAAGAGACAGAGGAAAAGTATAAAAATGCTTTTTGCCTTTGACCTGGGACTGTATTAACCCAAGGAACTCTGTGCCATTGCATGCATGCTCTTGTAATAAAACAATTACCTGTGAAGAACACAGAGTTTTTTATATATTTTATTTATAAAAGGCCACTGCTTGGAATGGCCACAACAGAAGGAGCAAATCCCTGCATCAGATTATCTGCCTGCCATCTGATGACCACCTTCCCAGTGTCTTGCTGAGGAACCAATAGATTTGGTAACCCACATTGGGTATGTACCCCCCCGAGAATTAATCCAATAGGTTAGAGACAGCCCCCTTGGTTCCAGCTGTGGGGAACTGTGGCAGCCTTCCCGAGCCAGGCACACCACTGTCGGTTCCCTAACCCCTGCTCTCCTCACTTATGGGGAATCACCTGCCTGGGGATAGAGCTGAATGCCTATCTCCTCTATTGCTATGCACAAAATCATCACCACAGACCACCACCAACCCAATTCCTTGTGCTTTGAGAGAAACCCTACTCTGTGGTGGATGTTGCCACCCCAATCTGAAACAAATGGGTCCCAAATTCTACCACCTGGAGCCTAAGCCTGCTCAGTCCAGCTCTCGTGAGTGCATTGAACTGCAAATGGGTTAATGTCTAAGTGGTCAAATAAAAAACTGGTAGACTGAGACTGATTATGTACAAACCCTTTAATACCTTAAAGGGGCAAATGCTAGGGTCATTTGCCCTTCTCAGGGCTTTATACTCCCCCCCCCAACTCTTCTGGTCTCTCTTGGAGTAGAGAATGCAGATCAACACTTCTTCCTTACCCATGGCCACAGCCCAAACACAGAAACACCTTCTTAATTGTTTCTGTTTGAAGGCCACTACCAACTTGCTCACCCACAGAGCTCCTCAAAAATGTCAGTGTGAACTCTGCCTTGAATAAGATGACTTCAAATGGATACTAACAAACTCTGGGGAGTTTTCCTTAGTAGCCATGTCAACAATTGATTGGTAACAGGCCAACTGCCATCTCTTGCTAGTGTCACCATCCTCCTCCAGCCCTCAGTCATTTTGTAGGCTTGGAATAACCTGCAAGGGTCTGTGTGGTCACAGGCCCTACCAAAAAAGGAAACAGCCACCGAAGGGATGCGATGGTCTTTGATGCCAAGCCCCTGTCCTAAAGTGGCACCAGGTATCTGAGGACATTGTCCTTTGAGGCTGGCCACTCTCCAAAGCTCCAGTATATTCCCAAAAAGCCAAAATTGCCCTCCTGTATGAATGTCGTCTGGATGCTGCTGTGGGGTGCAATACTCCCCAAAATATGACTTCTTGCCAAGGCTCCATTAGTCTTTAGGAAAGGAGTCCAGGTGTGGTGCTGTTTGGGAGGGGGCAGAGCCCAGAATCAATCTTCTGAAATTCAGGCAGGACATCTGAGAAGTGGGCGCCACAAATGTAATGTTCCCTGCCAGACAGACTAACACAAAGCAGTGCATCAAACACATGACCCAAGGAAAGTGAGATATCTTCCAGTTTACTATCTGGCACACCTGCCTAATTGTCACTCCAGACAAGCACCCCTTATCTCTGAACTGTTTGTGCCAAATAGACACAGCTACTGAGAATAAAATGATGTGAGTTAATGCATTTATTAATGTTTTGAAGTGCTATTGTTGATTTTTGAACATGAACAGCTGGCTGATGAGGAGGTTAATTACTCCGGTTCCTCTCCATTGCTGCCATCTGGTGGAACAAAAGTTAATGGACATTCCTTTCCTACAAAATCAAAAGTGGAAAATAATGTCTGTGAAAACAGTTATGTTTACAGCGTACTCTCATGACTAATCTGTCTTGGGCAGTGAGATGTTATTCCCTATTCATATTGTTGATTTTAGGCAGTCAAAGTAAAAATGATGATGTCCTGATTACATCATATGCTCCATAAGCAAGACTAGACATATTATTATTAAACTTATGTTTTGCATGCAAAATAATTTTAGGAAAAAAAGTTTAACGTTGGAGCTCTGCTAATGAGATTATGTAAACAACAAAAAGCTAGTAGCAGTTGGGCACTAGACTACAAGTAAAGAAATACCTCAGTGTTTTATGAATAAAATGGCATAAATATGTCTCAGGTAGTGAAGGAGTTACATGAGAGAAAGGAGTTAGCAAGGTGAAAACCTTTTAGATGCTATATGTTGGCAACACATAACTTCCACTTAAGATAAGATGCATTATTGTTATTGAGGTGCGCAAATTGTTAGCAATTGTTTATGGATACTTAACAACCTCAAAGGGAAAATTCAGCATAAATTTATGTGCCTAAGCGTACAGGCTGATTACTTGGAATGAAAATTTCCCTTTCTTTTGGAATCAAACTCCATTGAAAGGGAGGGGGGGAATGAGCTCAATTATTAAAAAGGAGAATATCCACTGAAGCCTAGAAAATGGCAATAAACTTTAGAGCCACTGCTGCTCAGCTGGCACCTGGATAAGTTCAATAGAATAGGCTACAAACTGGACATCATTTTGGTCTTATTATACAACTAAACATTTTTCTGGAATAAATTACTGCATGTATGCAATACTGGGACACTTCAATGAAAATAATTAAGTGATTATTACCACTTTGAACCATGGCATCGGCCAAGCTTTTTAAAGTTTCAGGCAAAGTAGACTGTTTTTCTAGCAAATTGTTTGCTTCATGAAGAAAACTGCACGTGGACACCTTTGATGTGACAATGGGATGCAAGCGACATTGCACAGCATGATTCAAGCAAAACTAAAAAGTGGGGGAATGACATTAAAAAGTTGCAGGGAAACTATCATAATGAAAAAAACTCAGCTAGAATGTACCAACTAGCAAGGTAGGTTAGAACTCTGTGTACAGTTGAAGCAGAAGAATTACATTCTGAGCATTATATTGTTCACGCTCACTTCACTCCAATAGTTATACCTTTTTCTTCAATAGCAGAAAAGAATGTGGGGAAAAAATGAAAATAAAAGGCAAGGAAGAAGATCAAATCTTAGATGGATTAGCTCTATAAAAGAAGCCATGGTCATGAATTTGCAAAAGCTAAACAGGGCTGCTTATTTGCTTGCTTATTTATTTATTTTATATTATCTATATTATTTATTTGTTTTGTTTTATTTAGTCATTTATATGTTACCTTTCTTCCTGTAGGAGACACAAGGAGGCTCACAAGAATTAAAGCGGTACAACAATCACAGTAAAAATACAATTAAAACTATATTAAACATGATTAAACATTTTCCAACATTAAAACCAAGATTAAAAATAATGAATATTTTGTCATAAGGAGATCCTGCACTATTTGTGATTTAGAACACTCTCTTGCAGTTTTAAGACTCTTCGAAATAAGCTGATAAGTAAACAATTATAACATATGTTCACAGGCAATGTCTTTCACAATACTTCATTCATGAAATCATTTACTTGTGTGAAATAATACTTGATTACTCACTGCTTTTAGGTAATTAGCATCTGCAAACAACTCTGGGGAAAGTGTGGCTGTCAGGAAAGAGAACTGGAAAGCTTTGTTTGAAGAGTATTTTACAAGGAAATGTGAAAAAAATATAGAGGAGAAATGTAGGGAACAATGACAACCACTCTTTGTGGCTTTCATAGATCTCACAAAGGCCTTTGATTTGGTTAGCAGGGACAGCCTTTTTAAAATACTTCCCAAGATTGGGATGTCCACCTCAACTCCTTAACATCATCAGGTCCTTTCATGACGGAATGAAGGGCACTGTAGTATTTGATAACTCGACATCAGACCCCTTTCACATCTGAAGCGGAGTGAAACAGGGCTGTGTCCTCGCACTGACCCTGTTTGGGATCTTTTTTGCTGTCATGCTGAAGCACACCTTTGGAATTGCAACAGAAGATTGTGGACTAGATAAGATGGGAAGCTCTTTAATCTCTCCAGATTCAGAGTGAAGACCAAAGTTCAGTTGAAATGCAGGCGGGACTTCCTCTTCCCTGATGATGCATCCATTGTTGCCCACTGTGCTGAAGACCTCCAACAACTCATAATCTCTGACACTCTCTTCCTAGATGTTGAGCTGGATAAACACATTGGCAAAGCAGCTACCATGTTTTCTAGAATCACAAATAGGGTATGGATTAATAAGAAGCTGATGGCATATACCAAGATCCAGGTCTATAAACCCTGTGTCCTGAGCACACTCCTGTACTTCAGTGAGTCCTGGACCCTTTGTGCACGGCAGGAGAGGAAGCTGATCATGTTGCATATGTGTTGTCTCCAACACATTTTTGGTATCACCTGGCAGAACAAAGTTCCAAACAGAGTAGTCCTAGAACAAGCTGGAATTTTTAGCATGTACACATTACTGAAACAGCGAAGTCTACATAGGATTGGGCATGTTGTGAGAATGGCTAATAGTCAGATTCCAAAGATTTCCTGTACGGAGAATTAGTGCTGGGAAATCACCCCAGAGGGAGACCACAGCTGCAATACAAGGACATCTGCAAGTGGGATCTGAATGCCTTAGGAATGGACCTCAACAGATGGGAAACCTTGACATCTGAGTATTCAGACTGGAGGCAGGAGGTGCATCATGGCCTGCCCCATTTTGAACAGACTCTTGTCCAACAGGCCGAGACAAAGACGTAGTCCTGAAACAAGAAAAATCAGGGAGCTGGACAGGGGACATATTGTATTTGTTTTCAGTGTGGAAGGGATTGTCACTCTTGAATTGGCTTTTTCAGCTACATTAAATGCTGTTCCAAGTCCTCTATTGAGAGCACGTTACCATAGTCTCTCGATACTAAAGGATGCCTAAAAAAAGGAGCAGATCCCAGATTAGACCTGCCTGTCATCCAGTCTCCAGCACCCCATCATATTTCTGGGTAACTACAGAGTTTTTAACCAACAATATGGATCGCCCCCAGGTGCAAATACACTTGGGTGGAAGAGACTCCTTGATTTCCAATGTAAGAAACTTTGGCAGCCAATCTGAGCTGAATCTTGCCAGATCAATTCCCTACCTACTTTTGTCCCCCCTTGTTACCAATGATGGGGGAATTACATTGCCTGGGATAGGGCCAAGTGTCCGTCTGCCTTTCCACGGATGATCAGAGGAGATATTTTTAAGTCCCCAGCCCAAGTGTGGCTGGGGGTCTTCCTCCAAGCACTGCCAGCTGCCTGCGAGTGGATGGATGGCAGGCAGTGCTTCTGCTGGAAAATCTTTGTCATGTGAGGGTGCCTGGGAAGAAGATGCTTGGCATGACAGAAGACTGAGGTGCCTCCCCTCTCCTGAGACAGAAACTGGGCTCTTGGTAAGTGTCTGGGTGACCCTTGCTTATGCAAATCAGTGCTCTAGTGCATGTCTTATTTGGGTGGAGTGCACATGGCCACCTCTATGCTAGGCATTTATGCTGTTCAGTCTGTTTTCACCAACCTGAAGAATTATGTTGCACGTTTCTTTTTGCCCCCTCAGTCCCGGAATAAAGACGCGAGACAGTGATATGGATTAAATACGGGCCACACTTTATTAAATCAGATCACATCAATCTATTTCTTCAAACATTATCAAAGGAGGGGGCCTGCTGTAGTGTGGAAACAGGATAAGGCGGGGGTATCCCAATAATCGAAATAATCGAAATTCCCCCATGCAAAACGTCATTTTGCAATCGCAAAAACCTCGTCGTAATGCGGATTTGTCGTTAAACGGAGTGCCTGTCTTGCGAGGCACCACTGTATTCTTGATTACAATTGTAAACTTTGCTAACGTTATGCCAATAACGTATCAATTTTTTTGTATATTGTGATCTAAGGATGATATCAACACAAATAAATTCTATAAACACTTAATATTAATCCAACAATAAAATGAATTTCCTATTTGCACCTACAATCAATTTACCTGTATGACTATAACTAACCTCTTATTTATTCCACGATTGATTCTATCCTGTAATGAATATTGAACAATATGAATGTTGCTCTTTTTATCAAAGGTTTCCTTCCTGCTAGGTTATAAGACAGCCAGCTAGTAGCTCAAAATGATGGGGAGGGAAAGAGTGGGGGGGAAAGGCACGAAAATCAACTAAAGGGGTGCTGGGGTGCCGATCTGCAGAGCAGCACCAAAAAGAAAAAAATACAAAATACAAAATCCCCAGGTTAATAATAACTCCAAATCAACTCTAAACACACTTCCTTTGTAGTATTTAAACGAGTAAGGCTGAACGATGCCTCACATTGCACCAGGTGTGCTTTTTTATAATTCTTTTTTTAACCACCTTATGCCTTATTCCTTTTTAAATAAACATTTAAAACCTCAAGGCTCCAACTTTCTTCTACAAACACCTCCTCTTAATTATATCAGTTTTATCTATTTAAACAAACCAAAACCCTTCACCTGCTGCTTAAATCAATAAACTTATTCAGTTAAAAATAAAAAGCTAATGACGTTTGAAAAAACAATAACTTAACAGTAATAAAGAAGTTACTCCCCAGGCAGGGACTTGAACCGGCAACCTGTGGATCTCCACCAGGCTGCCCTTCCACATAGAGCTATTCCTGCTGCTAGCAAACCAATACTCATTTAACTCAGAATAATATTTAACTCAGAACAGTGACAAATAAATTATGTAACCCAGGGAGGGAGCAGACGTTTCTCTCCTGTCTGACGAGAAAGAGCTTGTAAGAGCAAGTAAGGCAGCGAGATCCTCCTTTTGGAAGCCCAAACAGGAAAGAGGGAGATCATGTGGGAGTGCTTCCTTACATAACAGCACTCCCTCACCCAAAACAGTCACGTTACCCAGGACAGTCTCACGCCCATCCAGGACGTTGGGGCAAACACCAGCTCCGCTGTTACAAGGCAGCAGACCGCCGGTCCAGCAGCTGAGACCTTTCCTAATTCAAAAGGTGTGTGTGTATGGGGGGGAGATGAATAAGGATGTCTGCCAACAGTCCAGATGCCATCAAATGATGTTAATCTGTGTGTGAGGAGGGGGGAAAGTGAAGACTTAGTTAAACAGCAACTATTCCATCTGGGAAAAAAAAGCACCAAACTATGTATATAGGAGCAGTGAACTTACTTAAATTTTATCTTTTTCATCACCTGCACAGATACTGCTTCCTTCAGGAAAAAAAAAAACATCAAATTCTCACATCCCAGGAGAATCAAAGATGGATGAGTTCAGGAAACATTCTGTTGAATTTTATGATAATATGTTGTTGGATGGAGCTAAACTGGCACCAGAAGAGAAGCTTTTTTCCTATAAGGGAGTGTTGTATCCTGCTACTATTTGTTGTGCAGAAACTTTAACTGCTCTTGAAACCTTTGAAGCCAGGAGGGATGATGTGATCCTGACAGGATATCCTAAAACTGGTAAGCATAAATCTTGTCAATCCCAGCCAAATATGTTCTATGAAAGGTATGAGGTAATCAATAAAGCTTGTCCATGCTCTCTTTTGATATTGTCTTGGAATCATTTCTTTCCTTTTCTGGGAGAGAAAAATGTAATTCAAATGAATTACCCCCTATGGATCAGTTCTTTCCTCTCCAAACAGTCTATTCTGGAGGATCTTCTAGGAACATTTACGATTTGAGAAGATGTCCTTCAACAACCCTTATTCGTAGGATCCAAGATAGCCTCACAATTACCTTTACACTTTGGTTGTGTAACATCAAAGGGGCAAAATGGATGTGATGATTGCCAATCATTTTACCCATTCTTCATTCATTTTTCTGAAATGAACATTTATTTTTATGTTATTTGTTTAAACATTGATAGCCCGTGCTGTATCACAGGATCTCCAGGCGGTTTACAAAGTGATATTAAACAATTTTAATGCATAAGTTATTTAAAATAATAATTAAGTTCAAATAACACAAAATTAAAACATTAAAAGCATTGTATTAAAATCTGCACAGGTCACAATCCTCAACCCCCAAAGGCTCTAATAAATACGTATGTATCGTGTTTTCCCCAAAAAAAAAAAAAAAACATAAAAAAAATTTTTTTTTTTTAAAAAAAAAAAAAAAAAAAGCATTAGGGCTTATTTTCAGAGGATGTTTTAGTTTTTTTTTCATGTACAACACTCTATATTGATTCAAATACAGTCACGTCATCTTCTGGTTGCTGCACAATGCTGGAGGGCGGGATTTCACTTAACTAGGGCCTATTTTGGGGGGTAGGGTTTATATTACAATAATCCTGAAAAATTATACTAGGGATTATTTTCAAATTAGGTCTTATTTTCAGAGGATGTTTTAGTTTTTTTTTCATGTACAACACTCTATATTGATTCAAATACAGTCACGTCATCTTCTGGTTGCTGCACAATGCTGGAGGGCGGGATTTCACTTAACTAGGGCTTATTTGGGGGGGTAGGGCTTATATTACGATAATCCTGAAAAATTATACTATGGATTATTTTCAAGTTAGGTCTTATTTTTGGGGAAACGGTATTGATTTGGTGCTGAAATGATGCCAATATTAGCTCCTCCAAGGGAAGGGCATTCCACGGTAGAGGTGTTACAGCAAAACAAAAACAAACAGACATAAACATTCTCCATGTCTACCCATAACCGTTCTTAGTGGTGGGACACAGAGAAGGGCTTCCTCAGCAGATCTTAGTGACTGGCAAGGTTTATATACAGAGAGGTGCTCGTTCAAATACCCAGTTTCCAAGCCACTCAGGGCTTTGCAAGCCATTGCCAGCACCTTAAACTCATACTGGAAGTGTATTGCTAGTCCTAGTGGCCACCAGGGTCCTGATCCTGATGGATACTCCAGCATGCAGCAAGGCTATTTAGCACACTGCTCTCTCCATGACTGCTGTGCACCCTTTGCCCCAGCATTTGCTATTTGAAGTTGTGCCAATGGAAAATTTCCTTCTGTTGCATAACAAGCTGAGAGGCAGGCAAATTCCATAGTCCTGATCAGTTCATCAACTATTTGTTAAAGAACAATCTACTCTTCCCCTCAGTTTAATCCGATTCCTGACACAAGGTAGAAATCAGGAAAACTTCAAAATCCTAGGGTTTTACTTCTTCCTGTCTCACTTTGCAAATATTGAACTGATGAAAGTATTACTACTAGCCAATACAGTTGTGCCCCACTGGACGATTACCCCGCTCTACGACGAATCTGCTTTACGTTGACATTTTTGCAATTGTTTTGCGATTGCAAAATGATGTTTTAAATGGGTTTTTTTCGCTGTGCGATGATTGATTCCCTGCTTTGGGAACCTATTTTTACTATTTGTTAAAGCTCTTTTGCAGAGACTGGACTGCCATCCAGGAGCAGCTTTATGACATCAACTGGGGCTCCAGCTAGGTGAAGACTGAGACTTCTAACTCTGTGAAGAAGCACCGAGACAGCATCCTTAAGCATTTATGGATCCCTCCTCTGCTTAAATCTACATGTGTACATTTTTTAAAAGTAGCAATTACACATGGTTATTATGGGCATCAGCTTCCAGAATATATCTCATAGGGTTTTCCACCCTTTTTGACATCAACTGGGGCTCCAGCTAGGTGAAGACTGAGACTTCTAACTCTGTGAAGAAGCACCGAGACAGCATCCTTAAGCATTTATGGATCCCTCCTCTGCTTAAATCTACATGTGTACATTTTTTAAAAGTAGCAATTACACATGGTTATTATGGGCATCAGCTTCCAGAATATATCTCATAGGGTTTTCCACCCTTTTTCAGGTACCCACTGGCTTGATAAGATCCTAAACAATGTGGTAGACATTGGTGCAAAATATACAGAAGAGGAAAAGAACAAGAGAATTGATATTGAAAACGAATTGGCGATGCCTCCACGCCTTGAGTTTGTTCATGCAGATAAATTAAAGGTGAGTGTGGTCCCAAGTTTAATGACATTAAATCATGACTTTTCACATGGAAAGAGAACATCTTAGTGACAAAACATTGTGCCCTTACTGCTAAATGAATATTGTAGCGATCACTCCTGGTATGAATATTCAGCAGGGTATTTGCATGTACCAATGAGAGCTGTCAGGAGGCGGAGCCAGAGACACTAGAAGGGAGTGGAGAGTCAGAGTCTAGAGAGTTCAGTCAGAGAGACAGAGAAGAGAAAAAGAGTTTGGGGGTTTGAGGCAGAGACATTCACTGAACCATCTCACCCTCTCTAACTTTCATATTCTAGAAACAGAATAGCAAAAAGGCAGAGGCATTTTAGTTGAGCATTCAAATAAGCACCGTATACGCCTTAAAAGGTACCAGGATGTGCAAACAACAGCATGTGGAGATCTTTGTTACAACTGCAGATCTCTACATTGAAGGCAAAATAAGATTCAACACAGGCCACCCTTCTCTGGTCGGCTGGGAGGAAAAAAAACACAGCCAGAAATCAGTCAATAAAATGCCTGGTATACCTGTTGTCAAATACACTAGTGCATTATTTTCTGAACAAAAAGGGCAACTTTGTAAGAACATTCTTTGTATGCATCCTTTTGATGTTTATGCCTTTTTGCAATTGGACAGGTTAGCAATTAAATTGATGGAGAGGGACAAAGCATGGCTCACAAGTTCCTATGATGCCTCCAAGACTGTACTTAAGCCCTGAAGATGCTCCCCCTTGACACCCACTGAGGATTTTTTCAAAGAATGGGAGGAAGGGTTTTCTGGTGTCTACGCAATTTTAGCACGGAGGGGTGCAGGGTCCTGTCAGATACCCCCTCCCAAAAAAGCAGCACCTCCACCCACCCACCTGCAGGTGGGTACCCAGTGACAGGATTTCATTTCATCTGACAATAATTTTGTCACTTTCTTTTAAATTGAAGATGATGGAAAAACTACCGTCCAGAAGGATCATTGTAACACATCTGACTCCTGATACACTGCCCAAATCTATTTTCAAAAACAAAGCCAAAGTAAGTTCACAAATCTTATATACTTCGCTCCAGGATACTTTAGTTTGGGACTCAATACTATGTGGCAGAGCAGCTGACTAATTTGGCCATCTCTGGGATTGTCTGTGAGAGACTAGAAGGTTGGGATTAATCCATTCATCAGTATATCAATTCCAATACCAATCTAAAGAATATTTCTTCAAAGATGGAAGAACTTCGTTAGAATAGAATGGACCACCTCAGATGTTTTGGGACTGTTCTTCATTGGAAGTCTTATAACAGAGGTTGGATTGCTATCCAGCAAAGATATTTAGCTGTGGATTTCCTGCTTCAGCCCAGCATTGGACTTCATGACGAGGTTCCTTCCAGTTCTAGTTTTCTGTGATTTTATGATGATGTTTAGAGATGGGGATGAATATAAAAATGGCTCAGTTTTTCTGACGAATATATTCGTCGATCCGTATTTGTAAAATTTTAAATTAGGATGAATATGTCTTGACGAATATTTCCTTGGTTTTATTCATCAATCCATTCATATTTGTCTATATTCATGACCCCTTTTAGGGGCCTCCCTGAGCTTGGTTGCGACAATTTGAAGTTCTGGCCAATCAGGACAG